AAGGCTGTCTTGATCCTGAGACACCCATTGAGGTCCTGGTAGCCTACTATCTTCAGAAGAAGACCAGCAAAGAGCTGCCACCTTCCGGAAATGCGCCAGAGTTGCAATCTCTTGTGGACGAATCCAAACGTGTTGAGTGGCAGACCCTTGCCGATAAGAAAGCAATTCGTGTTCACCATGGTCACAGAGCAAAGCAGCTTCAACTGAAATACCCTGACCGGTTCATGGGAAGTAGGTTTGTGATCACCAGGAAGGCCATGGAAGAAAATACGGCCATTCAGGAAGATGATCCGAACACCTTCCGTGTCAAGAGTCGCTGGTGTCTGCAAGGGCACTTGGACCCGGACCTAGACAAGAAAGTCGAAGCTGGCATGCTCCAGTCGCCCACACTCAGCCAAATGGGCCGCATGCTGGTCATGCAGTTGATTGCGTCGCATGGATGGGAACTCCAGTTGGGAGACATCAAGGGTGCATTCTTGGAAGCTGGTCCATTACCGGCCAAGTTCACACCCCTGTTTGCCAAGCAGCCCGCGGGCGGTATCCCTGGAATCCCCCGCGATGCGGTGATTGAAGTCTTAGGAAATGTCTACGGGCAAAATGATGCCCCGCTTGCTTGGCATCGCACCTTTGACTCCGAGGCATGCAAGATTGGTTGGGAGCGTTCCAAATTCGACAGTTGTTTGTATTTCCTTCGTGATGACCAAGGTCTTTGTGGTGTCATGGGAGTACATGTTGATGATACTGCTCTAGGGGGTCGGGGAGACAAGTTTGAAGCAGCTGTGAAGGCCTTGCGAGCCCGGTTCCCGTATCGCAAGTGGCGTCTAGGGGAGGGCGAGTTCTGTGGCTCATACTATGTTCAGAATTCCAATAAGAACATCTCCATGAGCCAGACCTTGTTTGCGCAGAAGTTGAGGCCAGCCACCATCTCTAAGGGAGCATCCTCCGAAGATCGCCTTTCGGATAGCCAAGTGCGTGTCCTTCGTGCAATCAACGGCTCTCTCAATTGGTTGTCATCACAGTCGAGGCCTGATTTAGCAGCGCAGACCAGTATATCACAGCAGTCCTTTCCAAACCCTCAAATCAAGCACTTGAGAGATGCCAACAACGCAGTTCGTCGTGCGAAACTGCATCAGGATCTCAAGATTTGTTTCCAGCGGATCTCTCCTGAGAAGTGATGTGTTTGTTGCCATTCCGATGCTGCCTTCGCAAATGTAGGCTCACACACGCAAGCAGGATACATTCTTGCCTTCACTCATGCCGACATGCACCATGGTAAAGTTGTTCCTTGGACCCCAGTCGTTTGGAAAAGCTATAAGCTTCCACGGGCAGTTTGTTCCACACTTGGAGGTGAAAGCCAAGCCTTGGCAACTGCATCCGGCACGGTTGAGTGGCTGAATTTGCTTCTTGCTGAAGCTTTGGATGGTAGTTTTCTGCCGCGTGATGGCCGCACTCTATTGGCTCGTCGTCCCGCCATTTTGGCGACCGATTGCAAGTCCTTGTTCGACCATTTGGTCTCTCCATCATCCCCCACAGCAGTTGACGATCGCAGGACAAGCATAGACATTGTCATCATTCGCGAATCCCTCAAGCTAATGCAAGCGGAAATTCGTTGGTTGCCCACCAATAGAATGATTGCGGATGGACTCACTAAAGATAAGTTGGACCCTGTGGATTTGCTTAGAGCTTGTGTGCGTGCCGGCACATACCAAATTTCTCCCGAGGATCATGTGCTTGCACAGCAAGCCGCCGAGCGCGCCCGCCGCGCCCAAAATCGCAAACAGAGCGCCCAGAATAGTGCTGAATCAGAGGGCTCTGATTCAAGTCATCGAGATAAAGGGGATAGAGGGGATAGTGAATGAGTAATAGACGGGGGTATTCTTGCGTAGCCATTGCCGAGCAATGCGTGTCAGGTTAGTCTATTGTGTCTTCAACCTCTCGCCGTGCATGCTTTTTGTTTATTTGTTTGTTTGTTTGTCATCAGGGCTTTCTCAAGATGTGCGAAGCAACTCTTCATTTGGATCTTGAAGTGTCACAGGTGCAGTACAACGCCGAAGCCGTTTTTGCATAGTGGAACAGCATTCGATTTTTCAGTCCTTGCCAATTGCATGATAGACATGTCTCTGACTCCAGCTGAGTCCCAGGAGCTGCATCGCCTGTTGGCCAAGGCCAAAGCTGCGAACGCTCCCGATGAGTTCGCAGAATTTTCTCAGTACGATCCCAACAACGGCGTTTTGCAGAATCCGCTCACTGGTGAGACATTGAATGTCTGGGAGTGCGGGGCCATGACCGATGGCTCCAAGCGCCGTGAGGACTTTGCTGGCGATGAGACGCCATCCAGCATCAAGCGTCAGGCCAAGCCCAAGGCTAAGAACATGAGCGGCCTTGGAGGAGACCGCAATCGTGGTCAGCCGTCCTATGCCATGCTCTTTGATGAAGAAACTCAGGTTCCATTTCCTCAGGCAAGTCGTCCCGGAGATGTCGCTGGTTCCGTGTTGCCGCCCTTTCCTGAAGGTATTCCGGATCTGGAAACCTGGGGTAAGACGGTGATCTGTTTTGGTCAGTATAAGAACCAGAACATGACATACATGGACCTTGTGATGGCCACGGACAACAAGGCCCTTGGCTACGTGAAGTGGTGTAAGAGCCATTCCAAATCAGCTCAGGGCCACCTCAAGGATCTGTGCAACTTCATGATGCACCATTCCGCGGATGAGGGCATCTCCTTCGGTGTTTTCATTCCCGGCACCACTCAGACACGTGTGCTTCGCGAGTGAGATCAGGATCAACTGCATGGTGTCTCTTCAAGGAGATGTGCTGCACCAGAGCTGTGGATAGCTCACCTGTGTATACATCAGCCTGGCCTCAGCTTTGAACTTTGAAGATGTAGAAAATATAACCAGTGTTGATTTGCAGCATGTGCATGAGCACCATTGCAGTCAGTGCCTGATTTCCATTGCGTACCGCAGGGACTCTTTTCACATGTCAAGCCAGAAAAGGTGCCCGCGCGATGTGACACTGGGGTGTCACCTTTTTGGTTGGGTTCCGCAACCAGTTTAAATACATGTATATGATACGCATGCATGCATACAGATGTGATAAAAAGCAATGACATCAGCACCTGCAATCTGAAAGAGTTTGAATGTATCCAAGAATACAAGAACAACTCAGACATTTCCAAAAAAAATATATTAAAAATTCTGGGATTCAAGATTCAAGATTCAAGAATGTGAGAAAATCTTTTCTGGGAATCTTGAATCTTGAATCTTGAATCCCATATTGTTTTAAAAGTTTTAAAAACTCCAGGGTTGTCCCAATACTCTCGGTGTTCAATAAGATTCTCGGAAAAGGTTTCCGTGAAATAGTTCAATCCAGTGGTAACGGATGTTCGAGGTGATAGAACAACTTGAACAGTTTGGGGTTGACCAGGATGGATGATTCTCAGGAAAGTGGTGGTTTGTGGGCTCCTCAATATTGAATCCCCAATCCAGTGGTGAAGACCTTTCAAGTGTTAGAAGAACTTGAATGCTATTTGGGTTTGGCCAGGATTGACAATTCTCAGGAAAGTGTTCTGTGTAATCTTCGATATTGAATCTTCCATCCGATAGTAGCAAAGTTTCAAGTGCTTAGCGATCCAGGGGACACACTTTCAAGTTATTAGTTAGACAAACTTTCAAGTGCTTTTGGTGAGCTTCATGTCAGCTATGCTCATGTTGACCCCTTTCCAGGAGGTAAACAAAGGCAGGTGCAACGCTCAAAAATACTGTATTTTCCAGTATTTTATGAGGAGGCGCAGGATCATTGGGGCTACTATCTATGTGTGTATGTATGTGTAAATAGAGATATACATAGGTATGTACGTTCACACACCGTCCCCCACCCTCTTCAACTACCTGTCCACATTTGCTCATCTACTACCTCCACCTTTTGAGGTAGAATTAACTTTCCTGTGCAAATAGAACTTTAAATACAACGGTTTAGCTAGAATCCCTGCTTCGAGATAGTTTTAGATTTTGAACTTCTCTTCCCTTGAAATTTCCAGTTGGAACACCGTCTAACAAGTTCAATGTCGGACCTTTCTTATGCTACAAAAGGGCCAGAATGTAAATAACACAAATCCTATTTTGAATTTCCGAATGTTTAGCCATATTTAATATGAATTATATTTGAGATGTAGTCTCTATTCACTTGATATTATCAAAATCAAATTGAGTTGTGTTCGTCTTAGATTATATTTACCACTTGGATTATATTTGGGAAAACACTTCCATCTAACTTCTTGTGTTATAGATTAGTTGGAGTTTAGCCGAACATATATATTTACACTTTCATGTAGCTGCTATTTGGAAAGGATTTGCTTGTTTAAGCTGTAATTGAACATAAACACATTTTTGAAAACTATATCCATACTAAACTATATTCAATATTCCAATTCTAGTTGAAGTAACATCTTATTTGCAAAGGGTATCATACTGGGACATTGTGGAGGACTCCGGGCTCCAAACTATCACGCTTTGGGGACCCACAATTGGACATTTCGAGAATATAAATTTGGAAATTCTAGATTTGCCATCCCCAAAACGCAGCAAAACAAGGGTCCATGGGGGGGGGGTTGCAAATAAAAATGTTTCTTTTCTGAGGCCATGCTCGAAATTACCTTGTTCATATGGGCGGGTTCAAGCCTGCGGAAGGTTTTCCGGCCGTTTCACGGTAGTTTGCCAGGCTTGGGCCAGTGCTGTAGAATCAATGTTGAAAAACCGCTGGCTTAGTGGTTCAATTCAGAGGATCTTGTAAAACAAATTCGCCATTGAAGGCAACGGGCCAAAGCACGAAATCAGTTCAGAAGGTCTTTGTGTTGCCTTAACTGGGTAACAGTTACTTGTGAAGAATCTACGTTTTTCAGGGAATGCTTCTTTTTTTTCCGCACCCCCCAACTCCCCAGCTTCTCATTTGAAGGGCCCCTGGTGTCTGCAAATGGTCACGGCCCGCATTTCCCCCATGGCCTCCATGCTCGGTGACCTCTTCGCCGGTGCGGAAGATCACCTGGGCCCAAGAATGCCCATCCAAACAACACAGGGATCCTTATACGCCTGAACATTGCCTTGTAAATGGTGGTGTCCCTTTATTTTGGCGGAAAAAGCCATGTTTCAAATGGGCAAAATGTATCTATTAAGGAGCCCTGCAACACCAAACCGAAAAAGTCTGGGCCGCGGTATGTCGAAACATCTGGACCTCAAAGATGATCTCCCTTCTGGGACCACCACGAAAGCCCAGGCATTTAGGTGGGGCCAGTTCTCCCAAGAGTCATGCGCCTAGGGGGTTTGAACTCCTACCCGGCAAAATGTGCAGAGTCTGGGCATTGGAAGTGGGGGATTCGCCAAACCCAACAAACGGAATGTGGGAAATCAACTTTTCTTGGGAGGAGAACTGGGACAGCTGAAATGCGTTGGCTTAACAGTAGCCTGCGTGTCTCGCAAAGTGTGAACCCTCAAAACAGCGCTGGTGTCCCTTTGCGGCAACAAAACAATACCCGAAAAACAACAGACCCATTTCGTGAGGAAAGTTATCTTCCGGCCTCTGGGGGTTGGCCAACATGTTGGCTTCTCTAAAGAACACGCCCTGGCCAGTGAGGGGCCCAAAATCAAAAATGTAACGTCTATGGGCGCCTTTCGGGACGTCTCGCGCCAATTCTGCCGGCCCCCACGTTGGAGCGCCCCTCCAGCAGTGCCACAGCCGCCGCCAGGGTGGGCTGCGGCCAGTGAGTGTCCGAGCTGCCTGCCATGGGCGGGGTGGCAAAGGCTTACGTTTTTGCCGAAAGCGAAAATGAAGAACCCCCCCAAACAAAACAAAACACTTACAAAGGCAAGCTAGGTCGTATGTCAAAAGTGGGCCATGTCTGGCAATATTTTGAGGTCAACTCAGTTGACGCTAGCCATGCTGAACAAAAACCGACGGGACTGTTCCGGCTTGTTTGTGGACACACATTAATTGGGTGTATATGATGAACATGCAGCTCCCGGGCCCAGTGGATACCTGGATACCTCCTCCAGAAAAAGGCAAAACACGGATCATGTTGATTGGTTGTTTCAAACATGAGCATCAGAAACGAAGCCCTCGCAGGTAGCTTTCGGTTGAACGGAGCAGGCTGGTCCGGTAGACAAGGTGGGTCGGCGGGATGGTCAGTTGGTTGCAAAGGCGAAGCAAACATGACAGGAACCTTGACCGAGTGAGTCTGCCAAATATACAACAACTCCAGACCATCTTTCCGAGTCAGCTCGCTGAAACAAGCAGAGTCAATACAAGTTTGCGCTATCGCAATCCATTTTCTGCTATGAGTATGCTCATGTATGCTCATCAACCAAATTCATAGGGTGTGTGGAACCATTGGGGCCCTACAGGAGGTTGCTTTTGAAACACATCCACAGGCCAGCAGACTGACCTGAGGTCCCACAAGCCACCAACATGCGTGATTTCGGCTATCCTTTTGGTTCCCCCGTAACCGCCACCCTTGAATAATTTCCTACAACCGGCACAGTCCCCGTGGCATGGCATCACGCCCATGTACCCACCTTCCAGCGGCCGCCCAATTCCACAAACTCGGCCGCCCCGAGTCCCGAGTCCCCGGCTGTCCACGGTGCCGGCGAAGTGTCGGTGCACCAAGGCCACGTCGAGCATCAGCGTGGTGCTGTCGCTCTCCACCTCGTGCGCTCGTGCGCCAGCCGCCAGGCAGCGGCTCCGGCGCCGAGTTTTTGGTCCAACTGGGGGGTTCCCAGCGGAAGTTGGTGCCAAGGGCTCGATTTTTGAGTCGGATACCCGGGTTGACTTCAGCGGAGTGCTCGGAGCGGCAGGGCTCTGGGAGACTAAAAACCTGGGGAGACTACCTGGGTGTGTGTGCTCCACGATTCCCTTCCTCTCACGAACATGGCTCCTGAATGGCTCCGTCGGTTTTGGTTGTCAATCTCGGAGAAAAACATGGAGTGCTGGGATTGTTTCCGAATATGGGGAGCTGCAAACAAGATTGTGTAATATCAACCCCTTCTGTGATACCAAAGTTGTTGATTCCCATCCCGGTGACTTTTTTTATCAGATTGAAAGGGATCCGCCAAATATGTTCGGGTCGAGATTTAATTTGGGAATTTGTTTTGTTTTATTTTGGGATTTTTTTTTGTTTTCCGTCCTGGCTACTAAAATGCTGTAATTTACAGCATTTTCTCGCGAGATGTACGTATTTTATGCTAGTCCGTCAACATCATCAGCATCGTTTTCAACATCCCCCGCATGTCCAGCCAACATCCCCAGCATCACCAGCAAATTGGCTTCCCGTATCTCATGGTAAAAGTGAGGATTCAAATACGGGCAAACTAATCCCTGTAAAACACCTAAAACGTGGCAGCAGCCCCCCCCCCATGATGATTGAAAAAGTGACGACGGCAGCCCCCCCCATGATGATTGAAGAAGTGATGATTCAAAAAGGGCCAAACCAAATATTAAAAAAAGCAAAAAAAAAAAAACAACACATGGGGGGGGGGGGTCAGTTCCTCTGCGGCAAGGCCTCATGGTACAAGTGAGGATTCAAATACGGGCAAACTAATCCCTGTAGATCGAAAAAGTGATGAATCAGGGGCACAAAGTCTAAAAAATAGCGGGTGGGTTGGGGGGGGGCGGCAGCCCCCCCCATGATGATCGAAAAATTAAGGGCAAAGAATCTAAAAAGGAGCGGTCGCATGATGATCGAAAAAGTGATGATTCAATTAGGGGCAAAAAGTCCAACAAATAGCGGGGGGGTTGGGGGGGGGCGGCAGCCCCCCCCATGATGATTGAAGAAGTGATGATTCAAAAAGGGCCAAAAAAAAAAAAAAAAGCAGCCGGGGGTCATCAGTTCCTCTGCGGCAAGGCCTCATGGTACAAGTGAGGATTCAAACACGGGCAAACTAATCCCTGTAAAACACCTAAAACGTAGCGGGGGGGGGGGGGGCGGCAATTCCCTCCATGATGATTGAAAAAGTGATGATTCAATTAAAGGCGCGGGGGGTTGGGGGGGGCGGCAGCCCCCCCCATGATGATCGAAAAAGTGATGATTCAATCAGGGGCAAAAAGTCTAAAAAATAGCGGGGGGGTTGGGGGGGGCGGCAGCCCCCCCCATGATGATCGAAAAATTAGGGGCAAAGAATCTAAAAAGTAGCGGTCGCATGATGATCGAAAAAAGTGATGATTCAATTAGGGGCAAAAAGTCCAACAAATAGCAGGGGGGTTGGGGAGGGCGGCAGCCCCCCCATGATGATCGAAAAAGTGATGATTCAATCAGGGGCAAAAAGTCTAAAAAATTGCGGGGGGGTTGGGGGGGGGCGGCAGCCCCCCCCATGATGATTGAAGAAGTGATGATTCAAAAAGGGCCCAACATTTAAATTTTTTTAAAAAAAAAAAAAAAAAACAGCCGGGGGTCATCAGTTCCTCTGCGGCAAGGCCTCATGGTACAAGTGAGGATTCAAACACGGGCAAACTAATCCCTGTAAAACGGCACCCCCCCCCCCCATGATGATCCAAAAAATAGGGGCAAAGAATCTAAAAAGTAGCTGTCGCGTGGTGATCGAAAAAGTGATGATTCAAATAGGCGTGCATTTTAATCGAAAGGGGGGTGGCGGGGGGCCCAGAGAGGAACTTGCGATGCTGAGGATGCAGGAAGCCAACTGGGAAAGCATCAGGATGCAAAAAGCCAAAGCCAGAAAGCCGCCAAAAGCCAAAAAGCCAAAAAGCCAAAAAAGCCAAAAAAGCCAAAAAGCCACCTGCCGCAGCGGAACTGGCAATGCAGAGGATGCGAAAAAAGAGGAACTGTGAATGCAGATGATGCGAAATGAAAAGCCACAAAAACCCACGTAAAAGCACAAAGCCAAAAAGCCGAAAAGCCACCGACCCTGAAAAACAAAAATAATTCCTAAAAAAAAACGAAAAAAATCCTAAAAAAAATGGCCCTCCAATATGTTCTCACAGAGAGTTGCAACTGACAAGCTGATTTCCCACGACCATGGCGTGAATCAGGCGATCTTACACAATAGACATATACTCAAAAGACATTCCCATTGATCCCATTGCTGGTTTGTCACTTTGAAATCGCAGAAAACAGGCCCAACACCAAGTTTTCCACATGCCTTGAAGACCAGCACAGAAATACACACCTTGACGAAATGCATAAATACATATAACCTTTGCCAATCAAGTTCATCTCCCGTGAAAACCAAAAGCGGCTTAACAACTCTTCCGATGCAAAGCCTCTGGATATCTCTGGGGTCCGGTGCGTCATAGACAGGCGGACTGGCAATCTTCCGCACCTCCGAAAGACGCTCCGAAAGCAGGAGATTCGAGTCGGATTTCTGATTTGCAGGGGGCTGTTTCCTCTTAGTTACTCTAGTATCCAATGTGGAATTCCCAGATCCACTAAGTAACTTACATTTGCGCGTAAAAACAATCCAGGGGCTTAAAAGCGGAGAACATTCCGAACCATTTAAAACTGACGCATGGGCGTAAAATCAGGGGCGCTAAAGCGGAGAAAACAACCAATTGACATTAAACAAGGGAAGACTGCGAATCCATCAAACAACTCGCGCTCGAGCGAAAATTTGGGGCCCGAAAGAAGAAAATCCCAATCATTTCACAACTGACGTTTGGGCGTAAAATCAGGGGGCTATAGCGGACAAAACTCCAAATAATTATCCTGGAAAGGAGGGCCCCTCAGAGCGCTTTCACACAATCCAGGCACACAACATGCTAAAGAGGGAGGTTGCAAAACAGGCCCGAAGTGTCCACCATGCTGTTGATGGACGAAATGCACCAGTTGATAGGTAGCTTGTCTCAGGGAATCATCCATCGCAGGTGCAGCATTTCTTCGGGCCTCGGTCTCGGTGGTGGCTGGAGGCTGCGGGTACTCGGTCGCGGAAATTGCGACCTGGCGCTGGCCATCCCTGCGGATGCCCTGCATATTGCAAGCTTAAGGGAACCGGGAAGTTTACAGCCTTTCAAGAGGGTTTGCGGTATGTGGTTGGTGCACTTTTTGTGGCTGGATCTGGTTTCAGGTCCCACCCCAACTTGGCTCAAAAGGCGAAGTGGAAAGCGAAGAATCCGGACCAGTGACAATGGCCCGCAGGAAAACCCCAAAAACGGGTGCCCAGTTTCGAGGACTTGAGGGCAGGTCGTCAAAGTATGGCAGTGATATCTAGCAGTCTTGGGTGCAACAATATTGAATTAGGCACCCTTTTGGTGGACATCATCTTAACATGGGGTCTTATGTCTACTACCAACCGTCTTGCTGAGGGTGAATCATGTAAACTCATAACCATGTTGTCAAGACTGGCTCTTTAGCTTGCCAAGGTATGCTAGCTTGCATTTGATTTCACCGCGTGGAACCTCTGCCATTTTTCTCAGAACACTTCCGAGTTGCTCACATTGCTTAGCCAGGAGCAACCCGGCGCTTGGCCGCCATATTTTGTCGCAAGAAACCGATCTGGGCCGACCCTTCGACGTATACCCTGGCACTTTGGTCCAATGCGCTCGGTTGCGGAAGTTCAGCGGATCAGAAGCTTGCGCTCGATTGCATTCGGTTGGATGCGCGACCGACTACTCATATACTGAGTCCAGATTGAGCAAAGCCAGAACGACTTCTGACCGATATTGGCAATCTCTGACAAAGCTGAAATATGAACCCTCGTCTGGGGTACCCAAAGAGCTAGCCTTCCCGTCGGGCGTCCCCCTTCTCCCCTTCTCAAGCTTGCCACCGCTTCCTTGCCACAACCACGCGTAAAACCCAAGAGAAATGAGGCAGCACGGAGAAATGTGCCAGGGTGCCAGGGGGACTCACCTCACTTCACTGGCATTAACAAAGTTCAAACGTGGGTTTTTCTTTCCATTCGAAATTCCTTGTCCGTTCTTTCTATGTCCTTCAGTTCCTTTCAGTTTCCTTTCCATTTCCGTTCCATTTCGTTTCAAAAGATATGGCCAGCAATTTGAAGGACCTGGAAAGGACACTCGCCGCTTCAACATTCTGTACACGAGATATTGCGCGACTAGCTGGGAATGGAAAGTAGTGGAAAGGAATGGAAAGGAAAGGAGTAGGAACTGGAAGAACATTGCAAGAACCGGAAGACGGAACGGAAAGAAACCCACATGGCAGGTTTATGCAAAGAACAACTCCCAAGTAGACTCCAAGTCCCAAGCCTGCGCGCCCAGTGGCCAATCCTCTTGATTGCCGCGCACGATGAGCTGTGTGGCGCCTGGCTGCCCCAAGGGAGCATCCCGCAACCGCCGGGCCCCTTCAAAAGAAGAAACACAGACTAGGTTCCCGGCTGGCCGTCGGGCCAGCCAGAGGCGTCCAACTATCTCCTGAGAGGCTGGGTGTGAAGTCCCCGGTGTCCCGGTCCAGGAGAGTCTAGGTCCTCCAGTTTGGGAGGTCAGAAGGGTACCAACTTTTTTCTGTAGTCTATTTTAGCGGAACCCTCCCCCAAAAAAGGGGAGAGAAGGGCACTAGTGGGGGACCTAGCAGAACTCAACCACTTCCTCCCAAGCTCTACCCCTTATGGCCCTTGTATTCTTTAAGGCACACACCTCATGTCCACATCTCCAGCTGGGAGAAACGTGGGGGTCTGGGTCTCCTGCATACACTAGTTTCCTGGTGCCCTCACAGCAGGAAGAAGAGGCCCCTTGCGCAAGGAGCGCGGCTCCCCTCATAGCGGCGCATTGTCGGTTGGCAGGGCAACCCCTGAAGTGGGTGGTTTCCCTTTGGTGGCTCCCCTCAGCCAAAAGACACACCCACATCCTTCCAGATGCAGAGCAAGACTCCTGAAGAATCTTCGGCACGCCCACCACTTTCATATCCTAAGTCTCCCAAGTCTCGCCTGTGTCCGCCGTGGACACGAGCCGGGTCCAGGCCTTCCGCGACTCTGTCAGGTCAATGTGTGCTTGTTTGAACCCGAAGGGCGGAGGGATTAATGTTGACCCCAGGTTAGTCCACTCCAATTTATTCACAGGGGCTCCCCAGCCCCTCCAATCGTGATGATTCCCCACTACACCCAGGAACGAATACCATCAGAGGTGAAAATCTGATCACTTATTTCGTTGCTCTCCTGGACCCCAAAAGCTCCAAGATTCCGTTCTAATGACTGCTGCCTGCTGCAGCTCGCTTTCCCTGCTCAGCTTTGCCGTCGGTCTGGATCCCACTTTACTCTCCCATCAACAAACGTGGAAGTGCACAGGATCCCATTCCAAATGGAAACCAGTGGGTCTGTGCACTTCTATGTCTGGCAACCACGGGGAAAAACCTTGTAGAGGAATCTCTTATTGGGGATTGCCGTTTTGGGCTCCAGGATATTTTGCACGCCGGGGAAGTCCACGGTTCCGCCCCTTCCGATCCCTATCCCCGCCCCGCCTGGCTGGTGGTGCTGGGGCTGCCCACCTAAGGAGCAAGGGACTGCAGTAGGATGTGAGCCGTGGTCAATGTTTGTGTTCTTGAATTGGATTTTGGTGAGCAACCCCCACTTCCCTATCGTATCTTGGTGTGACCCCATGTCACTATAGCAAAATAGGGAAAACATGACCATTGCTCGTTTTTGCAAGCATGGAAAGGCTGACCGGAATCAGTGGGAAGAGTACTTTCCTTTGGGGGACCTACTTGCTATTAGAGAAATGGCCCTGAAACCAAGAGCATGCATATAATGCACCTCCTCAACTGCGCTACATCCTATTAGCATCTGGGCTTGTCTCCAAATGCGGGGGGAGACCGCAAATGGCGGGTTTCCGCTGGTTTCCCTGTAAAGCAAGACCAAAAAGGGCAACAGCAAGAGACGTACCAGTCTATTGATGAATCGCGTCCAGCAAGTCAAGGGTCCGACCGCTGAGAGGCTGCCCAGAACGGCGACCACCTGACCGTGTGTTGCTGATGCGGATCCTTGCCCAAAAAGATTCCCCTGAGCCCGCACAAAGTCAAACAAGCGAGAAATTAAGATCCTGTTGGTTTCCCATGGGAAGCCACCCCCAAACGATTTCGTTACCAATAGCTAGACCGTCGTAGCTGTTCGAAATGGAATCCTCCTCTTCGTGCTGGTTCCAAACAGAAATGCAAAGAAGGGCCATCGCCTCTTTTCGGACTTTGAGGCACCCCTGCCCACGTGTCATGGACGTTTCCGGGAGAACTTCGGCTTTGTCCCCGCGCAGCTTGGGCACCTCAGGACTTTCCGACTGAATTGGCTCATTGATTACACAGAGCGGGGAAGGGGTGGGTCAATGAACCAGTCACTGTGATTGCTCGGTCAACGCTATGTTGCTCTTTCAATTGTCATCTGGTCGTCGAGGTCATTGGCTTTGTGGTTGCTCGGATGTTCTCTATGTTTTGCCTTTCCTCACCGCGGGGAAGGGCAGGGTTTCCCAACTCCCTTATCTCGATAGTCTTCCAACAGGCAAACCGGAAACCACAAATGAAACTCCAGCAGGTACGCATATTCCGGGGAAGGGGGCATGCCCTTGGCAAACGCACTGACCACCAGCGCGACGCGGCGCTATGATCCTGCAGCCCGGCATGTCGTTGACGTCACATTTACCCAAGGACCTAGACATGACAGAGATGTAGGGGCCATGCCAAGTTGACAGATTGACCGGAAGGTCAGGTCAAAGGTTGATTCGCTTTTGAGCTTCTCAGCTTTCTGCTGAAACACTAGCTCATGTGCCTGTGACTTTCATTCAGGCAGGTGTCAGCCACAGTTGACGTTTCCACACACGCACACACACGCACGCAGAAGCGCGATTCTTCAAGTGTCAGCAACATATGACTTGCACCCACCAAGCACCATACCAATACCGCCTGGTTCTCATAACTTCTCAGCGGCGTGAACTGCAGTGGGTTCCGAGTACAGACCCAAACTCGCCTTGTTCACCAGGAAGAGCCCCTCCGTCATGATGACGGTAATGGACTGGCAGGGAGCGCCATAGGCGTCCAGCTTTTAAATGTATAGAGGAGGTGGGAGAAGGGGGCACTGAAAAGAAGAACTTGGCTGGAGAAAGAAGGTCTAATGGACAATTCAGAACATATGAGAACATGATACCAGAGGAATCAGGACTTCACTGGCCTTGTGCTACCCAGCAAGGCAGTTGTTGGCATGTCACATAACCACATGTGAGCTGCGGCAGCTTCGGCAGTTGTTTGCTACATGGTTCAATGGTCGAGTGTTCGACCCTCTTTCTCCAACCCTGCCGCTTTCCAACGCCGCATGTGCGTTTGTGCTCTCAAGCACCTATATGTCATGGCGCTCGTTTTCCACCTAGTTCCGTATGCTGCCCCAAACATATGTCCGCCCAGCCCGGCTGCAGTCTGCTGTAAATATAGGCAGTCGCTGTCAAGAATCGTCCTGGTCATTCTGGGAATTGTATGCCAAATGGGTGAAGTGCAATGACTCACCTGAACTGAGGGGCCCCAAAAACTGAACCTTTCGCAACACCGCAGCACCCCACCCCAGCACCTCGCGCCTGCTCATCTCCCCAAAGGACAACCTCAGCCTTGACGTTGGGCGGAATGGGGTCGGCCTCAGCTTTCATTGGGCGCTGCGATTCCCGCCCGTCGGCGACCAAAATGGGCCAAATCAACCGCAGGCGTTTGTGAAGCTATTTGAGGCCGGTCAGTTGGTGCACCAATGCAGAATACCGTCCCCCCCGACCCCGACACCCCCTCCTTGAATTCATGGTCCCCTGAAACTCCTGTCGCCTCGGCGAAACTGAGGTGCCCCGCTGCTGTGCCCATCTCCATCTTGCCCCAAACCTGCGCGGGTTGAAAGCAAAAAACATCGGGGATTGGGGGTGGTCGCCGGAAGTGAAACCCAGGGACATGCCAGAAATGTGTCTTTTGGTCGAAAACTCAAAGGGCACCTGTCATTTTCAACCCACCCGTCTAGATGCTTTGCTGGACTGGAGGGGGTTCAACCTGAGAGGCCAACAAAACCACCAAGGGAGCCAACGAAACAAAACTCGAAACCCTCAAAGCACGTCTTATAGCAGCAGGCTTGCATCCTGCATACTTGGGAAAAGTGCAGGACCACCCCTCAAAATTCTGGGCCCACCATCTAGAGCGCTTGGGATGAAGGATGTGATGCCCAAACGTAGGCACAAAGCCTACACCTTCTGGGCAACAACTAAACTTAAGGTAGTCTTGAAAGGCCCATGAACCAGCACGAAAACTTGGGATGAAAGATCTGCCATGAACATCCCCAATGATGCTATGAACTCAGGGCTCCATCGTACGGACAATGAATGCTGGCCTCTCAGCATTCAGGTATTGTAATGTTGGGAGAGCCACGAACACAACAAGATCTGCGCTCTGTGCACTCGCCCTGCATTCTGCGCTGTGCTTGACAGTGCGCAATGATGGCATATCCAGCCCTGGCCACTCGAAGCTGAAAAGAGAACACAATGAACCGCAAAAGCGCGCAGCAAACTGCCGTCAGCCAGGTCATTTGCCTGGTGGACGTAACTCAAAACAAGAAAGAGCAAGGTAGTGTCACTGGGCACTCAGTTGAGGTTGATTGGGAGACCATGCGTTGCCTGAAAGCTCAAACCTATCAAGACAAAATAGGATGGTGACTCAATGTATGCCTTCCGCACACCGTCTTTTTTTAAGGGTACCGATCAAATGGGTGCATTTTTTGGGGCAGTGCAAGGACACCGATTTTGGGACTCCAGGTTTTTGAGAGGTGATGGGGAAAACACAGATCTCCATTTGCTGGGCTCACTCACAACGCCTTGACCGAGTGCGCGTTCAGGGTGGTGTTCTTCTCCCTGTCGAACTCCAAGCGCCCCTGGACGTCCAGCCAGTGCCTGGCGATCGAGGAAACAACCTCCCGCAGAAAAGTCTCCTTTGAGGGGATCAGCAAATTAGATCCTTCTTCGAAACCTGAGAACCTGAGACATTGGATCCTCAAGCAAAGGACCTACATGATGGTGAGCACGCCTTAAGAAGTGCGCTCGCCATAAAATAGGCAGAACACAAACTCCAAGCGTCCGTATGGAGAGCTGGGCCGCCGGCAGCTTGGGGGTCACAATGTCCAGCAGGACGTTGTCCTCCGGCGGCAGCACCACGTTGTCCTGGGCAGGGGCCCAGCGGTTTGCGACCGGCAAACGCGCCCACGTAGATAAGACAAAGTAGTTTCATGTCAAAAGCATGTGTATACCTATATATATATATATATCCACCTTGCAGTGTGTAGCTATGTGCGTGTGGTTTGACCTGATGGTTTTTAACGAATGCTTCTAGTTCTCCCATGTTTTAATTACATATATATATATATATATATTAATATATATATAGGCCAAACCATTGGAGTTGGGTGGGTTCTACAATAGTTATATTGGTTCCTGAGTCAGGCCTCTTTCAGTAAGACACGCACACACACACACACACACACACACACACACACACACACACACACACACACACACACACACACACACACACACACACACACACACACACACACACACACACACACACACACACACACACACACACATGAAGGATGTGTTTACAGAGCAATCACAAGAGGACCAAGCCATCAGGAGGGGTCCCCCAAGAAAACCAAAAGGCCACCCTGAACACCCTTCATTTTTCAGGCTAGGCACTCTGAGCAATGATGCATCCACTGCTGACCCAGTGTAGTGCCGAAACAATGTGGAGGAAAAAGGATTGTTCCGTCTGTCGCCGCCATGCAAAGGCCTTGCCCCATCTTCCATTGGCGACAAAGGCTCCCCCCCAAACCCTGTAGAATCTTCTTTCTCATAAGGGGTTCTTCAGAAGGGCTATGAGAATCTTTCGGCTAAGGGAGTCCTCTTGTCTCCCCTGATTCCGCTGGCTACGTTTCTTTTCCGTGATTCGCTGCGGAACTGGCCTGAAGCGCAAGAACTATGGCCTGACTCTGAACAAAATTGATATGGATCAGCCGGTTCGGGCAAGGAAGGAATCCTTGGGATCGGACGGCTTAAGCATATCATGTTGCCCCAGGGGGAACGATCTTAGCCAGAAGGGCCATTGAATAACTAGGTAGTTCCATGAATGTTTGGAATAATTTGAGTATTGCGCTGAAACAGGAGCAGGATTAGCTTCAATTTGTTCAAGGTGCAACTAAAGCTACCGCTCATGCTCATTTCCCTCTTGCAAACAAGCACCTTCAACAAATAGATGTGCGAATGCTCTAGCAACTTACAGCCTTGCCCAAGGAACTGGCCATCCTATTGCGTAGGGCCTTTCTAGGGGTTGATCCCTCCTTCTTTTCAAACCCAGCCATTGTCCAAGCCTCTGATAATTTTGCGGGAAGAAGGATTCCCGGAAAGAATTGTGCGGCAAGTTACCACTAGAGCCTTGGGATGGCGGAGAGGTGGGCTTGGCCTCCAAACAAACAACGGCCTGAGCGTTCAGCAAAAAGACACATCTGAAGCGTCCATTTTGCATCTGGGAGCTTGGCCAGGGCTAGCATGCTCAGCTGTCTCCAAATCTGAGAGACATAGCTGATAAACTGTTTGGCCCCCCCCCCTCCCTGCGATTCTGGTTCCCACCTGCGTGCCATCAAAACTGCTTTTTGGGGTCTCTGGGTCCCGAAACCCTCGGAAACTTTGGGTTTAGAACGCCTTAACCTCCAGAATTCTAGCCAAGGTTTGGGAACCTGCAAACGGCGAAACTAAACAAACAACCTCTTGGTGTCCCTAAGGTCTACCTCTGATTGCTAAACTACCCCCCCCCCCAAAAAAAAAAAAAAAAGAAAACTTCAACCCCAAATAGCTTATTCAGGGGGGTTTAAAAAAGCTTGGCACATCGAACTCGACCTAAGCAGCTGGCCATCTCCCCCGGCAGCTGGCCGTCGGGCCAGCCAGAGGCGTCCGACCATCTCCTGAGAGGCTGGGTGGGAAGTCCCGGTGTCCCGATCCAGGCGAGTGTCCTCCAGTAGAGAGGTCAGAAGGGTACCATTTTTTTTCTGTAGTTCAATTTTTTCAGGGGACCCCCCCAAGAAAAAGGGGTAAGAGGGCCCTACTGGGGGACCTAGGAGTCATTTGGGGAGAACAGAACTCCTCCCCCCCCCTCCTCCCTGCTGTTTTTCTTTTGGGTCAGACCTCCCGTGGCCATGGAAAAGGGGCCTTCTGGTTCGGTCGATAGAAAAACCCGGTGGTAGACATTCATGGGCACTCTATGAAGAAACCGGGAAACGGGCACTGCAGGTGGGGGGGAGCGATGGGACGGGATTCCAGCAGTTTTGATTCCCAATGCACCGCCCTGTCTCCAGTGTCTTCATTTTCTTACCCTGTAGGTCACCTAGGTAGCCAGCCGGCAAGACCAACAGGGAAATGGCCCTACTATACCAGCAACTGGCAAGACAGCGGACTCCCTTTCAAGATGATCCTCATCAGCCTGGGTGAATTAGAATACTTTGCCACTCGAGAACAAGGGAGACCCACCCCATGAAATACAAATTAATCAGGCCGGGGATCACAAAACAAAACGCACCCCGCGTGCGAGGTCCCGAGTTTTAATTTGCACAGAAAGCTCCAAAACCTGTAAGCAAAACAACCGGGACCCGCGCCAACTTGGAACATGACGTCGGAGGAACTCTTTGGGGCCCCGGACTTGCTGTTGAACTATTAATTACCCCCCACACCGAAAGGAATCTGATAGGCAGGGCGCCACCTGAGCGTCAGCTCAAGCCAGCTTTTGGACAAGAGCGTGCCACTGGCCCAGGCCCTCCCAAGCTGATGAATCTACTGGGCTGCCCTCAAATCCCCTGCTAAAAGTTTAACTTTTAGTGGGTCAACTGGAAACCCCCACACCAAAAGTCTAAAAAGCTAAGGAACCGGATGGCTGGGAGCCACCAAGTCTACAGGCCCGTCTGCCACAAGACCCGTTCTCTCCCCTATGGGGCCCGCGCCGGAGTAGATTGTATCCTGAGACAACACGGCGGCCGCTCGGCTCGGAGACTCTACGAGATGGGTAGGAGACGGACAAGACTGGACCCGTTCCCCAGTCCAAATGGTATTGGACACTGGGGAGCGGGGGTGTTTCTGCCAAGATTCAATGAACGAACATGAGTGTCTTCAAGAATAGGAGACCCGAACAATAGTTGTCTGGCTCGGTGCGTGACTTGGGGCCCACATCCGTGTTCGAGAGATCATAGGTGAAATCTAGGGACCCGTGTGCATTCATCAAATCATGTTTGGAACTTCGATCGCGGCCTGCAGCATTCTGTCACCAACTTGCTGAGCAAGGCAAGGAAGGCAAAGCAGCCCGGCCATTAGTACTGAATCAATCCTACTTCGGAAAACGTGCTTCTCTCGGTGGGGCACAAGTAGTCGCAGCATGCATACTCTTGTTACTTAGAACTTAGAGCAACTTGCGTCTGAGTCACAAACAAATCCAGGTAAACAAGTCTACTCGAGTCCATGTAGACAATCAAAGGAGCGAATATCCCAGCCAATTTTGGCTTGGGGCTACCCCAATACTACGTCAGCTTCATGTGGCCGTTCGGTTTCGATTTTGGTTGGGCTGAGTCTGTGCAACCAATGGTTTCCGATTGGACCCCTCCAAGTCCCAAAATCAAAGTTGCGCTGGTGTTGGAGCCGAACTTTTGTAGAACATTCCCAAGTGTCTGGTGGCAACTTAATCAGACGCTTCTTCTGCCAGGCTTGATCGGATTTCTGAAAGCCCGAGGTGAACCTGAATCGTCCTGGTCGAGCTTTTAAACCTGTTGGGCCATTCCCTGTAAAACACATGCTTCAGTGATTCTTCAAAACAAACATCTTTGGTGTACTTTGTGAAATAACGGGCCTGAGTCTTCAAACATCCCGCGCGAAGCCACTCCTTTGGGCCCCGAGCCGTCGGGGCCCTTCGCGGGCTGCGGGCAACCCGCCACGGGGCACTCCCGTGGCGTGAAGCTCTGCCTGCGAGGTCTCCGGAAGTCTCCGGTCTTTTCCCGAATACGTCACCTCGAGCCCAAGGGTTGATGTTCCAGGGTGTCCCGAGAAAATAAAACACGGAACCCAAACACCTTCGTGGCCTGGTTGAAGGGAAACTGCCACTGGCTTCGTCAAAATGACATCCTCGGAAAAAATGCCTTGATGGTGGTTTAAAGAGATTCCCCCACCCCAAAGTATTTTGTTCGGACACCTTCAAAAGTTCACTTGAAGGAACCCGGCAATACAATGGTCCCAAAACACAGAACGGGGTTGCAGGCTACCTTGAAACCAAATTACCTCATGATCATGGAGCATCACGTGTAATTGTTTCAAGAAACCACCAAGCCAAAGGAAAGAAGGACATCGGCAAAATGCTCAGCTTACTTCCCCTTCCCCTGAGGCCCTGGCATGAAATTCCCGCTGCTCGGCGTGTTGGGGCCCGCTGAGAAGGTGCCGCTGTTGTTCACCACCTGCGCTTGAGAAGACGTAGTACCTTTGAACCTTTGCCCCTCGGTGAAATCCGCAGAATCCCCACTGCTTTTACCAACTCGGGAGCTGTGAGCCTTTGCCCCTTCTTCTTTCCCTCATTTTCCAAATTGCGACTTTGAACCTTAACCTACCCCAGTTCCCACAAGCTTAGATGGAGGTTTTGCTTCGAAACGCAGCAATCCGATGTTTATTGAAAGGCCTTTGTTCACCTCAAAACTGGCAACCCCAAAGGATGCTGCTTGGCAGCAACAACATGTTCAAGGGGTTGAATAGCTCCAGTGAGCGATGACTCCCGGTAAGAACCCCTTCCACAATGGTGGTGCTCCAGGTTGTACCTGTTCCACAAAAGGAGGGGGTTGTAAGCCAATAAATCACCAAACCCCTTTCAGGTCCTCTCACAGAACAGCATCACGGCCACTGCTCTATTCTAAAGTGTTTGAATTATTGTTTCCCCACCCGACAGGTGTCGGTTGTTGGGCGGTCGCCACAAGCCCGCCCACCGACCGAAGTCCCGAAGTCCCGAAGTCCCGAAGTCTGCGGCTGCCGCCAGCGTGAGCTGGACAGCCGCAGCCATGCTGAATCCCAAGAGCCGATTTCTGTTGCCTGGTCCCTCGAAGATCCTCGGAGCTACGCCTCCGGCCAGTCGCCGTCAATGCCCCATCTCCACGATTCACCGGAAAAAGGTCAGGGCAGTGCTATGCATGACTCAGTGCGTGCGAACACATTGCCAAAGCTGTTCATCTCAAAACGCCTGCGTAATGACTCAGAGAAAACATGTGATTTGCCGAATCCCTGGGTTCCTCGATGTCTCTTGCAAAATCAACATGAAATTGCCCTTTCCGAAGGTGATGATTAAATCACCGCACCAAACCAGCCCTTCCCTGAGGCCATGGGAAAATGTTGCTGGTCGATGTACATGGAAAGCCTTGCCAAAATCAAAAGGGAAGCAACCCGCTTGGGTGGTTGGTTAAGGGCAACGCCAAAAAACCAGAGAAAACATGAAGCACCCGCCAGTGTGCGAGGATACCCTGCAAATAAAAACCATGTCTTCCATTTGGTTAAGACCCTTGGAAAAAAAGAGAATATTCAAGTAGTGATAGATTCCCTTTAAAACCAACAGGAGAAAATCATTGAACAAATGTTCTTAAACAGTGTCACATCCCTTCCGTCGAATTCCTTGATTCTCCGCATCACATCGCCTTCATGGTCAGCGCAGTGGTCAGTCTGCCATGCACCATGTCCACCTCCGGCTGCTCGTCAATCTCTGCCTGCCGATGGATGGAAGCAGCCGTGGTTCTGTCGACATTCTATATAAGTTGCGACAAGGCCTAGAGCTCAAACAAAGCACACAGCTCGTTTTTTTTGTTGGTGCCGCTCCGAAAGCGTGCAAGGAGCATGGCTCTCAAAGGGCTCTGGCAGAGTGAGCAACACTAAAGGATCTGCACTAGGCTGATTGGCACAAGCCACTTGCTTAACCTGGCGCCTGATGATTAGGCCGGCACTCCCCAAACAAAGTTAAGGATTTCCGCTAAACTGGGACACCTCCTAATATACAATCAACTAGGGGTTCATTCGTCCCGGGTTCCAATTACCGGACTCGGGCATCTCCAACTTCCGCATGGGGCGCGAACTTGCCCGGAGCCAAGGCAAGCGGTGCCCTCCAGCTCCTCGCCCTAGGCAAATCCTTTTCAAGTAAAGCTCGAAGCCAACAAGCCACGCTTGTGCATGGATGCTGAGTGTCAAGGATGCACACGCAGGAACTCCAAATAGACCATAAAAAAAAAAAAAAAATGAACACCACCGTTTTGGGGTATCGTTTCTTGGCCTTTCTTGTGAGGCTTTTTGTTGGCCTTAGCTGGCAATTGCTGCTACGCCCTCACCATTTGTTGGTTTTGGGTGTCTGGAGGACTTCGCCTCCCGTTTCCATACGACAAGCCGACAGCGCTTCAGCCAGGAAAGCAGCACAGCATCGCTTGCAACAAGGCGGGGGGGAGGTGTGGTTGCATAGGGAGAAATTCTTTCGGAGCAGAACGTGCATCCCAACACAACGGGTCGTTTCTTTCAGCCACACTCCCCTGACTGCATATCGTGGATAGAAACAGAAACCTAAGGTGGATGCCCATGCGTGCCCCCTTTTGGGTTCAAACGATTCAACCATGGCCTCTGGAACTCCGACAGCAGTGCACTGCTTTTTGGACAACAGGTCTGAGTCTGTGGGCAGTCTGTATATAGCCTGGCACGGGTCAGCTCGAAGAGTGGTTTCTTGAGCATGGCCCCTCCTTTCAAATCCTTGAAATCAAATCGGCCCCTCAGAGCCTCCGCTCCGCTGAACCCCGCGCGGTTGAGCAATTTGTGCTACAAGTTATAAGTATATATATATATATACAGCAAACACCAGCCATCAGCTCAACCGCGCTCGCGGTTGGTAGCACTACCTCTCGCTCCCCAACTGTGGGCGAGTGTTCGAGTCCAACTAGGGGTCCAACGGTGCAACCCATGCGCTGGGCCACTGGCAACGGGCATGAAATGCGACGCGCGCGCGGAAAGAGCCCCTAAGCTCATAGGGCAAGAACCGAAGCACTGAAAACGGCCCGATCGCGCCGTATCTTGTTCAGAGGGAAGCCATGCTTTCCCGGAAAATCGCAACTCCATGAGTCACTCCGGGAGCGAGCATTCGCTTCCAGCCTCGTGCCCAAAACAGTCAACACCCATGGCCCTTCGCATGAATGGAGAACTTCGGGCAGTTTTCCGCGCGTCGTTCGGCAGTCTTTCCTTTGAAGAGCTTGCCGCTTGCCCTGTGCCGACGTGGCACCAGTGGCAAGACTGCCCACACTGATCGAACTCCGCCAAAACGGGCTCGGAGCTAGGGCAAAAGGGACCCCCTTAATTGCATGGTCCGACTTCGTGTCATTCAAGCAGAAAATTTGCTCTGGCACAATGTTGCATACCTGGGTTCCGGGTTCCATTGCGGTTCGGGACGGGGGGAAGACTGTCCAAACATCCTTCTGGTCGCGAGGCCGAGCAACCAAGCGTCAGGATTGCCAGCACAACACAACAATACCTTTGCGCACTTGAACGCGGTGCCAAAACATTTCTTTTAGACATCTAGAACTACAGCACTTTCAACAAGCAATCTGAATGGCAGCATCCTCGTCGTCAGGTTAAAATGAGCCTTCCAGCTTGCCTCAGGAACTGGGCAAACCCTCTTAGCATCGAATTGGGGCTGCGCACGCTCGAGCCGCATTTGGTATTTATCGGCAAGGAGTATTGGTGCACGCCAAAAGACGGCTTCACGCTTTCCAGGACTGTCAGAGGTGTCATGCATTTAATTCACAGAATGAAAGCACACCGTTTCCCAGAATATCCCGGGATACAAAACTGGATAGGTTGAGCTCGAGTGGAAAGTATATTGTTCATCTCCTGTTTGCATCCCGGATGAATTCCGCTATGGCAGACGATGTTCAAGTCCGCTATATGGAGACGGTCTCAGCAGCTGAAACCGCCAAATGAAAGGAATCAACACCGCGAGAGCGAACCGAAAGTTTGCATCAGCGAGCGCTCTCGAAGCGGTGAAAAAGCCAGGTCAGCGTTCAAACGCGCTGTGAAATCCGTGCTTTCAGCCCGTCACAAGAGGCAAACGGAAACTGTCTGTCGAGTGACCTACAAAAGGACCTGCGTGCGTCTCCACGGAATCCGAGAACACGCGCTTTGAAGTTGGACATGTGATTCTCGTTTGCAACTGTCAACGGAAGGGTCACATCGACATCGCCGACAGAAACGGCCTTCTCCACGTGTAACTGTACAAGCTTCACAGAGTCTTTGGCACGCCCTGAAAGGATCACTACCTCTGGATATGCATCTTATTGGTAAATCAGTTTATGATGTTGGAATCTGTCAGGAGTGCTAAAGAGGCGGTGGATCAGTCCACCATTCACACAATCTCCCTGACATCCTGCATCTGACATCTATTATCGCATCCATCGAGGAGCATCAACAAATGCCCTGGCGAACGTGCCCCTCATCCCTATGCACATATCTTTGCCAATTCCTGCCAGATGTTCAAGTCAGTTCACTTGGGCAAAGCACGTCCTACCATTGGTTAGAGCTAACGCTCCCGACTCACGTCGCTTTCAGCACACGGCCAAAGCGGAAAGCGCCGACAGCCAGCAGGATCCCCCCGAGTACATACACTGCGGGGATCGCCACCTGAGTTGGCAGCGCTGCGATTCGACCCAAGTCCTGGGGCTTGCTGCGGGCTGAATCGCAGGGACCTTCCTCACAAAAGTCCTAAGGATGAATCGGCCTTTCTGGCTTCAAGGAGGTACCTGGGCCGACTTCGACCCTGCAAGAAAATGACTTTTCTGCTGGTTGAAAGCGAAAATGAAGGCAAACACTAAGAGCTGAATCTGGCAATGGTTGATGGCACTGAAGCCAATTCCTCAGCCAGGTTCAAATTTGAGACTCCCGCCCAATTGCTCTGCTCCTCCTCTTTTGCCAAGTCTTCGTCATCCTAAGTCGCAGCCGCTTCGTTTCGGGTGCTTCAAGGTTTTTTCGGCAACTCCTGACCTGCTGAACAATTGGCTGAGGCGTCCGGGCTCGGGACGACACAAATACTTTGTATTTGGTTGCCCAAACACCATTTAAGCATCCTTCATTTTGGGACACCTATGGCAAACCACAAACCATGCCACTTGGGCGTTCCTTCAATAGAGCGCCAAGCTCTGAAGCCATTGCTGATTTCTCCTGGAACCTTTCTGAAGCTGGGTTAGAGTTTTCTCTAAAGGACATTGCTCCAAACATGATGTGGGCATGGGTCAAAGCCCCTTCCCCCCAGTGAACATCAACCAATCCAACCACTAAAATAGGAAGCCTAAAATGGGTGGTGAATTCACCTATCCCAAAATGGGATCCCAAAACGGTGTGGAGCCATGGCCATGCGCTTGGGGTTCCCTCACTTTCCTAAACGCGTTCCACTCGGAGCTTTGGCCAACCCAAGCTCGCCTGGTAGATGTCCTGCGAGCTCTCCACGGACCGTGGGGTCACTGGCGTACCCGTGGACTGCGAAGCCTTCGGCGCAGGGAGACCCCCCGAAACGGAGATTCCACAAGGTGACATGGCTGTGGGTCAAACCCCAAAGTACTGGTGAACATCAAAATAGGTGGCAAATGGATGCTCATCCACCCCCAAAAGTTGTTCCACCAACTATATAACTTGGAAGTGCAAAAAGGCCCTTTCCAAGAGGAAAGTCGTCTTTCTACGGGGGTTTGTGCACTTCCATGTTAGCTGGTGGGAGGGCAATAAAGGTGACATCCCAGTGATTCCACTCCCCTGGTTTTGTAGGGAAGCAAGGGACACCTTGAAGCACTTAAAGGGCAATGGCAGACTACCTACTGCATAATAACTTTGATCCTGGGTATGGTTTATCAAGTTTCATTTTTCATATGATGGGTTGCAGCCACTAAAGCAAGCCAACCACCAACACGCGCAGACCAGTAGCACCTCCCTCTTAACCAGAAACTATCTAACTCAATCTCCACAAGTTGTAGTAGGTTCAAAAGAACCAACCCACAGGGATACTAACTATGACAACCCCTTTCGATCAACCTCAGCAAACTCCACAATTTGCTGGCATCCTTCATGGGTGAGCTTGACTTTCCCCACCATGTCATGCTATTCCGAAGGCAGAAATTGGGCCAAACGCTTCCCCATGACACCCACGTACTATCCACAAAAGGTTGCACGGATTTCCCTTTGAAATAGTTCATTCCGATCGATGCTCTTTAGTTGAGTTTGTTAAACCCTGGGTTTCAGTTTGCCTGCGTCTCAAACAATGGCACAACCTTCAAGAAATGACAATGCGACAGGTGCGCCTTTGTAAAAGCTTTGGCGAGAGCTGTTGGAAATCCAATTCCCATAGCCTTTTGCACAACTAGAAATGAGATATTTGATTCAGCGAACCTTAGAACCATATTCAGTATATAGTCGGCGAATATTTGATACCTCTTCAGCGAACTTGACCTGACTAAGAGATCTGTGGGGAATGGCCTCCATGCTGTTGACGCGCTGCGCCAAACGGGCAGCCAGCAGGCCAAGGGGGTCCTGGCCGAGGCGCGAGCTACGGGGAGTTCAGCGGGTTTGACGACATGAGCTGAAAAAAATCACATCGGAAATGAAATGACATAGCAATAAGTTGCAGTTGAATTGCAAAACAAACACCCTCAACTTTCAACCCCAAACCTGCCACACTTCTAGGCCTTTCTCCGAGTGC